AGTTCAGTTACAGAATCAATCAGTGTCAGTATCAGTTGTCTCTATAAGCAAGATGAAAGAAGTGTCTATGAAAGTCAAAAAGTTCAGCTAAGAGAAGTTAGGAGAAGAAGATGAAGATGGAATAGAGCCATCAAAAAAGCAGGAGGAAGAGGAAGAGATAGAAACTACTCAAATCCTGATGTTCAGTGTGCTGTGATATTTGTGAAAAGATAATGACTGTTGGTCAGGTGAGTACATAGCCACAGGTGAGTACTTAGCTGCTCCATTGCTGGGATGGTGGGGTCTGGAATCTGTACTTAGCAGGCAGCGAAGCCAAGCAGCTGGGATCTCTTCCTAGGGAAAGTGACATTGACAAAGCAATTGGAAAAGGGACACAGTCCTTCACCCTATAGTGGCAACTCTTGTTAGCTGTGAGGGAAAGATAGCCCTTCAAGAAGCAGTTGGCATTGAACCCAAGCAAGTGGTCAGTCATGGAGGAAGTTATCCAGTACTTGAGGGAACTAGCTGTGGTAGAGATAAGGAATAAACTTTGACAGTAATACCAGCTCCCAAGATTCAGATGATGTGATGTGTATGTGACCTGTGAGAGGGACTGTCGTTGTATGCCAACACACTGAAAGAAATAAACTGGAATTATAATTAAATGTCAGGTGTGGATAAAGTGGCTAGTCTACTTCAACAGTATGATACTCTCTCTTCCTTCCCATGGGCCTGTGTCTTGGCTGTGGAGAAACTGGTTCAATGGCTCAAAGAAAAAGAAACTGGTTCAATAGCTCCTCCATTACAAATCAATATTTCATCCACTAGAAGTGTCTCTCTGCCCAGGAAGGTGGGTATAGTATGTACACAGCATGTACTATCCTGTACTTTTACCTGCATGACCGCAGAAAGAATATGAGAAAGTGGGATGGAAAAGCCATCTCAAACCCTACAGGCATGAGCACATGAATTGCAAGGGAAAACAAATACAAGAGAGGGTCCTTCCAGGAAATACTGGCTGCAGTTCCTAGTGGGTGGATCTCCAGATAGAGAAGATGGTCTGATCTTACCTCTGAGGGTGACAATGAGCCTTCTGGTTCTCATGCACAAGGGATAAGTAATGAATACAGTAACCACAACTGGAGGGGTGCTACCTCCAGACACATGGTGGAAAGAGGCAATTGGGTTTATTGGGCTGTGTGGATTTGTTGGTCTGGTACATTTGAACCACAGAAATATGGACACCTGTGCACAGTGTACTCCAATGCTATCAAGTTATAAAGGGGCAAAACCCATCTATAACCCATATATTTCTGGACTGACAAGAGGATCCCGAGATATAAATGTATTGAAGGCCAAAGTGAGCATAACAGGAAATGAGTAGCAAAAGCTGCTCCATAGGCTCCATGCATTCTTGATACAGATTATCTCAGGAGAGGCTATTTCAAGGATCTCAAAGGGTGTCAGTGGGCTTTTGGTATAGCTGCCTTGGAGATGGAGGACATTAAGCAGCTGTCTACCTTGCCTGGACTCTCAGAGGACCCTTCTGCTGGGGGGGTGCTAAGAGTAGAAGAACAGTAAATGCTGATTGCTACTACAGCAGTGCTACTACTGAGCAGTGCTTCAGTGGAAGTGTCAAACCAGGACTCCCCAGTTCTCATTCTTCAGCTGATTCACCAATTGGAGAACCAAGGAGTAATCAGCAAGACTCACTCACCCTTCGGTAGTCCCATATGGCCAGTGCAAAAGTCCAATGGAGAGTGGAGGCTAACGGTGAACTATCATGGGCTGAATTAAGTCACATCACCTCTAAGGATTGCTGCACCACATGTGCTAGAGCTTCAGTATGAACTGGAATCAAAGAAATCCAAGTGGTATGTCACAACTGGCATCACTTACGCGCTTTTCTCACTCCCTCTGGCAGCAGAGTGCAGGCCACAGTTTGCTTTAAAATTGAATGGGCGTCCAGTACTCCTGGAATTGACTGCCTCAGAGGTGAAACACAGTCTTAGCATTTCCCATGGGCTGCTTCACACTGCACTGGAACAGGGGGAAGCTCCTGAGCACTTGCAATACATTGACGACATCGTATGGGGCAACATAGCAGAAGTTTTTGAGAAAGGGTAGAAAAAAATTCAAATCCTTTTAAAAGCCAGTCTTGCCATAAGACTAAGTAAGGTCAAGGGACCTGCACAGGAGATCTTGTTCTTGGGAATAAAAGGGTAAGATGAACATCATCAGATCCCCCAGATGTGATCAGTAAAATAACTGCTATGCCTCCACCAACCAGTAAAAAGGAAGCAGAGGCTTCCTTAGGTGTTGTGGTTTCTGGAGAATGCATATTCTGGATTAGTGACTGACTGTAAACCTTCTCTATCAAGTGATCCTGAAGAAGAATGATTTCACATGGAGCAACAGCCTTTGAATTAATTAAAAATTAAACAGGAGATGGTTCATGCTGTAGCCCTTGGGCAATCTGGGCAGGACAAGATGTAATGAATGTGCTCTATATGAAGCCGAGGAGATTGGCTCCACTTGAAGCCTCTGGCTGCACAAGGAAGAAAGAGAGGAAGGGAGGAAGGGAGGGAGAAAATGAGGGAAAAAAAGAAGAAAGGGAGGAAGAGAAAAAGAGAGAGGGAGAGGGAGAGGGAGAGTGAGAGGGAGAGGGAGAGGGAGAGGGAAAGGGAGAGGGAGAGGGAGAGGGAGAGGGAGAGGGAGAGGGAGAGGGAGGAAGAGAGGGAAAGGGAAAGGGAAAGAGAAAGGGAAAGGGAAAGGGAAACGGAAAGGGAAAGGGAAAGGGAAACGGAAACGGAAACGGAAACGGAAACGGAAAGAGAAAGGGAAAAAAAAAGGAGTAAGAAAGAGTGAGAAATAAAGAAAAGAAAGAAGGAAAGAAGGAAGGAAATAAAGTAAGGAAGGAAAGAAGGAAGGAAGGAAGAGAGAGAGAAAGAAAAGGAAGCAAAAGAGGAAGAAGGAAGAAAAGAAGGAACAAAAAAAGAAAGAACAAAATGGAAAAAAGCCAGTAACACATGAAATACTTATGCAGTTCTTGTGGACACTGACTTTTTCTTTACTGTATGGATATATAAGTGTCAGCAAAATGCCATCAAGGAAAACTTTTTCGATGAGTAGTACACATCTGCACTGTACAAGTGATAGTAGAAAAGGTGATACACGAAATTGGAGTCAGTGTCCTATTTCCACTGAATAAATCCAGTAATAGCACAAATCATTCCAGACGTTGTTAAAATTAGTCTGTTGTCTTTTTAAGATATACCTTTGAAATACCTTTTTCTACTTGAGAGCTGCCACTATAAGTAAGGTGGCATATATGTAATTCTTCCTTTTATTTCTTGGGGTTTTGTTGTTGTTATTGGTTGGTTGGCTTTTGTTGGTGGTGGTTTTCTTTTTACTAAAGACGTCTGAAGTATCTTTATTTTATTATTTTATGGCACTCCGCACTCAAATATCAGATTCAATATTAGGGAAAGAAGACAGATAAAAAGAGTGCATCCAGAAAGCAGTAAATTGTGTAGAAGTGCTCAATTATTAAATAAGACATTTATATCAAGGAGGTCTTTATCATGAATAGAACTTCACTCATTACTATGCATCTGAACATAGAGGCAATAATGGGACTGCAGGAGTGGAATTTTGCATGAAGCTTTCAGTTACAGAAGCTTGCTACTCACACCATAAATAAACATTACTTTACACAGACAGTTTTCATTGCCGATTCTAGTTAGCTTTCTTCTGTTTTTCATTGGTGGAAACCAATAATGCCGTCTGGTACAGGAAATCGAGAAAATTCTTGATAATGTAGCTACATCTTTTGAAGTTATTAGGACGATAAAGTTATTTAATTGCTTTGGTGGTATGTAGTGGCAGTTTCAAGTAAAGATACAGGTAAACAAATGGCCAGCGTGACAGCAGTAGAATTGAAAAATGCAGAATGCAGATATAGACTGCAAGTATGATTGCAAACACCCGAAGAGAATTATCTTAGAGATGTGACATGTCTGATAAATCTTGCACATGCACGACAGGAAACAGGCCACTCTTCTGACCCTTCGCGGTGAGAGAATGAAGAGCTCCTTCCTTTAGCTTTTCTTTCCTCTGAACATTTCTACACTGCAAGACCCAAGACGTCTTCAGTTCCCTCTGTAACATCAGCACACGCCTGTTCTGCACTTACAGCATCATCCGAGGAACTCCAACGGAGTCGCGGCGCTGCGCCGATCCGCGCCGCCCCGCCGGCCGCGTGTCCACCGGTCGGACCTCCGGAGCTGTCCGTGGTGCTGCCGCCCCCGGCTGCGGGAAGGGGACGGAGTCGAGCGCCGAAGAGCGCTGGGGTGAGCTCTGCGGGCCTCGGTTGGAAGGGGAGTCACCTGTTTCGGGGGGAGCTAGCTGTTGGTTTGCTTTTGTTTGGTATGGCTTTTGTGGTTTTTTGTTTTCTGTTTTTTTTTTTTGTTTTGTTTTTGTTTTTTGTTTTTGTTTGTTTGTTTTCCCTGTTTAATTGATTGCTTGCTTTGTTGGTTCGGAAGGAAAATGGAGATAGGAGTCTCATCTCGCTCCTGACGGCGGCTCTGTGCCGCTGCACTGAGCAAAGCTCTGAAGACTTTCCAATTTAAGAAAAGAAGCGGGAGGGATGTGCCGAGGCTCCCGTACTGATGTGTGCCCGGAGGACGTCTAGGCACTCTGGAGGTGGTAAAGCACGTGTTAAGAGGCCGCTGCCTTAAGGCAAGAAAGGAAAAAATACAGAAAAGGGAAAGAAAAAAAAAAAGAAAAAAAAAAAAAAAGGAAGAGAACGACGACGCGGAATAATCGCCCGGCCGCCCCGGCTGCGGGGAGCAGTGGCCACACCGCCGCGCCGCCCCATGGCCGCCTCTTTCGTCGGGACGGCCGCGATGACGCTGACAGCCGCCGGGTGAGGCGGAGCCGGCTGGGCCGGACCGGAGCGGGCACGGCTGGGGCGGGCCGGGGCGGAGCGGTACCAATTGCGGGGAGAAAACAAGCGGCGGGCGACTCGGGCACAGCCGTGGCCCCGCGGGTGGAGGAGCCTCCCGCGACGGCACATCGCCTGGTGCTCCGAGGCCAGATCGCGCCGCCGAGAGCTGCCGGTGGTGCAGGCGTGGAGCGGCGGAGACGCGCTCTCCCATGGACTGGGCTCCCACCGTGGGTCGGCATCGCCGCCAGCTGAGGGCAGCGAAGGACGGAAGGGCGGCGGCTGCGGCCGGCGGAAGGGCCCCGCTGCCCGCAGACACAAGGCCGGGCCTGGGAGAGCATGGCGCAGAGAGCGGCCCGCACGGCTGCGGATGAGCTAGCCAACGCCGCCGCCCGCGGTGATCTGCAACGGGTGAGGGAGCTGCTGGACGGCGAGGCCGACCCCAATGCTGTCAACTCCTTCGGCCGGACTCCCATCCAGGTAGGGAGGACGGAGATGCCCTCCGTATCAGAGGACCGGGGCTGAGGGCCGCCTCCCTGGCAATGGCTCTTCGGCGGGCGCGGAGGCAACCCTGGGCTGAGTGCCGGCGTCGGGCGCACCCCGACAGCTGTGCTGAAGCCAGAGCGGCACCATGGTTCCTGTCAGCCTGGTGCAAAGGGGAAAGTCTACAACCGCCGCAAGAAAAGGGTTTTAGTTTCAGCAACCCTGGATCGCGTTGTTATCAACCATAGGATGATCAAAACCGAGAGCCTTAATGCTCATCTCACATTAAATGTGCAATAACAAGTAACGAGTCACCTTTTCAGAGAGATTTACCCCTCCATCAAATCGGAATCTTCTGCTTTACTGTCTGTCTGCTATACTTCACTACTACTACACTTAGTATTTCTTCTATCTTTTTCCAAAATAACGATAACAACAACAACAATAATAGTACGGTGGTTCTCACATATTCAGGCTTCTCCATCAAATCGGCTTCTTCTGCTTTACTGTCTGCTATACTTTACTACTACTACACTTAAAAAAATTTTTTTTTCTTTTTTCAAAATAATCATCCTCATAGTAAGGTGGTTCTCGTGATATATTTGGGGGGAAAATAAATAAATCAGTGGTTTTTGTGATTTGTTCAAAAACTCCTTGAAGCAGAACCAGTCAGTGCACAGCCCTGCCTGGCAGCTCAGCAGACGTACACTCATCAGTCTTCGAGGAGCTGAATCGTACTGCTGTGAACGCAAAAAAAAGTGCCCGCAGGAATATAAACTACATTTATAAAGCCGATTTAATGTCTCTGGCCGTTCTACACGGATTCCTCTTAAATTTTCAAAATAAAACGAAACTTGGGTAATTCTGAGAAGCTGTATTTAGGATACGCTGTCATTGCCTGCAAAACTCTCTCCTACAAAATGTCGGTGCTGCATTTCTCCAGAGGCGCGGATTTGGGACCGCCCTCCGACGTGGTTTTTTTTTTTTTTTTTTTTTTTTTTTTTTTTTTTTTTTTTTGGCACCTTTGTGCAGCACAGATCTGCGAGCTGAACGCACGGCGCTGCGAGAACGGCGGTTCACACACCGCCCGTGTGTTCGGAGGCTCCCGGGCGCTCCTCTCTGCCCGGACTCCGGGCCGAACACAGTGGGAGTGTCAACGGCTTACGGGCTGGTTCGGCCCGGTTCCGTGATGAGCAGGGCAGAGGGGTCTGCAGATCCGCGCCTCCAGAAAAAAAGGAAACAGGGGACCCCAAAATAATTAAAAACAGCGGCACTGATCTGAGGAGAAACAAACTAATTTACTAAGTATATTATCTGAATGCAAGAGAACACACTATAATACAATATAATCAGAATTGAAGCTAATAAATCAAATATAATGAGAGAGAGAAAGGTGGATAGGCCTCACCACAACGCTCTTGCCAGGAGTTAAACCTCCTCTCCCTGATCTCAAAGTCCCCTGGGGAATGTAGTTCTTCTTCTCTTCTGGGCAGGTACCCAGGACTTGAGCATTAACAGTTAAAGTCCCAGTGCCCCACATGATGTTATGATGTGGAATACCAAAAACCAAAAATCACAAAACCGTGACATTCCACTCCTTATTCTACATCACTACATCATGCTTAATATATATACAAACAAACAATAATTACCAAACATTAAACACATGCACACACAAACCTTTTTATTTATGGAATTACTGGCTGCACTCCCCCAATATCAAATTCTCTTGTGGTACACATTGAACATCCCCGTTTCTCAGCATCACCCACCAAGTGGACCCAGGTCCCTGGGCAAAAACAGTTCCACACGGAGGTTTGCTCTTCCCAAAAGCTGGAAGGACCCAAACCACTTTTCCCAGCATGTTCTTCACATGTACTACATGTACTACCTTATCTGCCTTGACAGTATGTAGGGAGCTAGCAGGACCATCACGATTGATAGATCCTCTGGTATTGACTAACTAGGTGGCTTCTGCCAAATGCTTCTCCCAGTGCTTAAATGTTCCGCCACCCAGTGCTTTCAACATGGTTTTTAGCAACCCATTGTAGCGTTCAATTTTACCAGAAGCTGGTGCATGATAGGGAATATGGTAAATCCACTCAATGCCATGATCTTTGGCCCAAGTATTTACAAGAGAATTTTTGAAATGAGTCCCGTTATCTGACTCAATCCTTTCTGGGGTGCCATGTCGCCACAGGACTTGTTTCTCGAGACCCAATATGGTGTTTCGGGCGGTAGCATGGGGTACTGCATATGTTTCAAGCCACCCAGTGGTTGCCTGCACCATAGCAAGCACGTAATGCTTACCATTGCGAAATCATGGCAAGGTGATATAATCAACCTGCCATGCCTCCCCATATTTGTACTTTTGCCATCGCCCTTCCTCCCAGAGAGGTTTCATCCTCTTGGCTTGTTTAATTGTGGTGCATGTGTCACAGTCATGGATAACCTGTGCAAGGGCATCCATAGTTAAGTCCACCCCTCGGTCTCTAGCCCATTTGTATGTTGCATCTCCTCCTTGATGACAGGAGGTCTCATGGGCCCACCGAGCTAGAAATAATTCACTCTTGTGTTGCCAGTCCAGGTCTATTTGAGCCACCTCAATTCTGGCAGCTCGGTCTACCTGATAATTTTTTTGCTGTTCTTCAGCAGCCCGACCCTTGGGCACATGAGCATCTACATGACGCACCTTTACAACCATATCCTTTATTCTGGCAGCAATGTCTTTCCACAGCTCAGCAGCCCAAATAGATTTACTCCTTCATTGCCAGTTATTTTGCTCTCACTGCTGTAACCACCCCCATAAGGCATTTGCCACCATCCACGAGTCAGTGTAAAGATAGAGCATTGGCCACCTCTCCCGTTCAGCAACATCTAAGGCCAGTTGGACAGCCTTTACCTCTGCAAATTGGCTTGATTCTCCTTTCCCTTCAGTGGCTTCTGCAACTTGTCGTGTGGGGCTCCACACAGCAGATTTCCATCTGCGATGCTTTCCTACAATACGACACGATCCATCTGTGAACAGGGCATATTTCTTTTCATTCTCTGGTAGTTCATTGTATGGTGGGGCTTCTTTAGCACATGACACTTCTTCTCCTGGTGGTGTTCCAAACTTTTTACCTTCAGGCCAGTCCATGATGACCTCTAGGATTCCTGGACGGCTGAGGTTCCCCATCCGTGCTCGTTGTGTAATCAGTGCAATCCACTTACTCCAAGTGGCATCAGTAGCATGATGGGTGGAGGGAACCTTTCCTTTAAACATCCAGTTCAGCACTGGCAGTCGAGGTGCCAGAAGAAGCTGTGTTTCAGTGCCGACTACTTCGGAAGCAGCCCGAACCCCCTCATACGCAGCTAAGATCTCCTTCTCAGTTGGAGTGTAGTGCTCTTCAGACCCTCTGTACGCCTGACTCCAGAATCCCAGGGGTCGGCCTCGGGTCTCTCCTGAGGCTCTTTGCCACAAACTCCAAGTGGGACCGTTCTCTCCAGCAGCGGTATAGAGGATGTTCTTTATACCCTGTCCCGTCCGTACTGGCCCTAGGGCCACAGCACGGGCTATCTCCTGTTTAATCTGCTCAAAAGCCTGCTGCTGCTCAGGACCCCATGTAAACTCATTTCTCATTCACGTCACATAATAAAAGGGGCTTACAATGAGGCTGTAGTTTGGAACATGCATTCTCCAAAAACCCACTACACCCAGAAATGATTATGTCTCTTTCTTTTTCTCAGGCATCAGATCATCTTTGAAGGGGTATCTTTCTTTTACAGCTAACAACATCTGCTTCCGGAGGGTGAAGGCCTGGTTCTGGCATGTACCAATGCCTCTGTCAATGGCTGAGTCCTTAGCAATGCCACCCAGTTGGCGAGCTTCTCTACTATCTAAGCCACACACTGTTGGCCCCATTGTCCCAGCATCGAAGTAACCAAGTGGCAATAGGCTCATTTGGGTGACGTGAGAAGTCTTTTCTCAGACTTTGAATTCCATTCTTTTTCAGAGATCAATCAACAAGGGTAACGATGTCTTGCTCACCTCTTCCTCTTTTAGGACTTCTTGTTGCCCTTGTAGGCATTGGTGACCGTGGTCTTACTGAGGGCCCTCCCCTGGACTCAGGGGTGCTTCTCCTAGACCTTGGAGCCACTCCTCTGGACCTCTTTCCTCCTCTTTCTTCTGTTCTAACTGAGCCGAGATTCGTTTTGTTTTCCGTCCTCTTACAGGGGCAACTGACATCAATTGTGGTGCCTCCTGTGGTTGATCAGGCTGGTCAGTTCAGGGAGCGAGGCTATGGGCAGAGACGCTTCCCTGCTCTCCCGAGCCCTATGCTAAAAGTTTCCGGGAAGAAGCAGATGACCAGCCTCGCTCTGCAGGCGCGGTTTCGCGGTGGCCATCGCGACTCGGAACCGCGCGAGTTTGTGTGGAGGTGCGCGATGGAAAACGAGAGATTCCCTTCCGTCCTCAGTCGCGCTGCCGCCCGGATCTCCGCGGCCGCCTCGCGCTACCGCCGGGCCCCGTTCTCCGACGAGCCCCTGGAGCTCCTCGGCGGCCTCTCCGCCTCCTCCGCTATGCTGCGAGGCCGGAGCGGAGAGCACGCCGCTGAAGAACGCTGTGTCCGTCCTTCCCCTCGCAGGTGATGATGCTGGGCAGCCCGCGGGTGGCCGAGCTGCTGCTGCAGCGCGGCGCCGACCCCAACCGGCCGGACCCGCGCACCGGCTGCCGCCCCGCACACGACGCGGCCCGCGCCGGCTTCCTGGACACGCTGGCGGTTCTGCACCGCGCCGGGGCGCGCCTCGATCTGCCCGACGGCCGCGGCCTCCTCCCCCTCGACGTGGCGGCTGGGGGCCCGCACGGCCCGGTCGCCTGCTACCTGCAGCGGCCGCCGGCGCTGCCGCCAGCCCCCCTCCCCTGATTCATTGACCGGAGTCTGGACCGTGCTCCCACGGGATGCAGCAGGGATTGGAGGGATGTGTGGATTTTAGCAAGCTGCTCTTTACACGAGTCTGTGTTCTGCCCTGCTCTTGAACCACCCCTCCCCCCCCGGCCTTCCCCTTTCGCACGGGAGTTCAAACACTGTGAAGAGATGAAGGAATTGCTCCCTTCGCCTTGTGTCCGAGCTTTCTGTTAAGGCTCGGTCCGAAGCTTCCCTCTCCCCTGCCGAGCCCCGCCTTCATCCCCACGAAGCGGCTTCCTCCCGCAGCTTTGGAGCCGAATGAGACAGCGGGGCCCACCATTCCGCCTTGCAAAATCAGAACAGCGGGGAACGAAGTTTTTGGTAAACACCTCCCGCCAACCACTCAAGGTGCTGCGGCATGTACATGAGCCCGTGGTACATCTGCGGCTCCTCTCACGGCGTCAACAAGCACGGGAAGAAAACAGCGATTTGTGCCTCTGCAAGGCCGACGCCGCCCTCGCTTGAAGGAATACGCGCAGGTGACCTGCTCCGATCCGCTGCGAGTTTACAGTATTCTGAAGGAAATCACCATGGATGCAAAACGAAAACATCAAGGAACTAAAAATTAAAACTCGGACTTTCATGTGTCTCTGTTTTCTCCAGGCTGCCCGAAACCGGCAAGTATGGCAACGAAAGAACCACGCCGATAAGTTCGGGTTTTGCAGTGGGTCCGCTCCCGGAGGAGCAATGTGCCGCAGCAGGGAGAGACGAGCGGTTGCGTGAGTCCGCATCCTTTGTGTCAGCGGGACGGAGAGCAAAGCCGGAGCGGCAGATTGGGCAGCAGCGGCCCCGCGCCGCAGCTCTGTGCGCTCCGCAAAGCGTCCGGAGAGAGTTCGAAGGAAAAAGATTTCGGTTTGCGTTCATAGCCTCCGCCTCGTTCACAGAAAAGTCGTAAAGATAATAAATATACTAGTAAGTGTAACTTATTGGAATATACAGTCATCACAACGTGATCTCGTGCAATTTGCTCTTTATAATTAGCATGTGTAAACGGACAGTCTGTAGATATGAAGTTTTGCCGTTTATGAATTTAATTCATATATGTAATGAAGATACAAAAACGTTCAGAGCATGTGTATGAAAGCATCGAGATGGTACATCAAGCCTATACGTGTGCTTATCGGTTATTTATATATGTAACATGTTTGTGCTTTTCTGTGTTCACTATTTATGCTCGCAAGGATGTACAGAAGCGCACATTAAATTTAAAACAAATGCGAAGCACTTGCTTTGCATGAGAATGCCTAAGGTGTTTATTATGCACATGTATTTATGTGGCAAGCACTTGATAAGAAAACACAACGTAAGGTGATACTTCTTCGGGCTTTACGCTGCTGTGTATCGGTGCCGTGAGCCAACGGGGACAGCGCCGGGCGCGGCTGCGAGGTGATCGGCTGGACAAAACGGGGCTGGGGACGGAGCTCAGCCCGATGGCCGCTCTTCATGTAATAGTGAGGATCTGATGGGTCGCTCTCCTGACCTCCGTCAGGCCAGAATTCCTATTAAAAGATCCTTTTCGCCGATCATCAGAATTCGATTTAAAATATTCTCGTTGCGAGAATATTCGCGTTAAGGAAAGAACAGCAAGAGCAGCAATGCATAAAACCGGTAGTAATACCCGGCGCCCCAAGGCCGCCCTCGCAGAATATCAGAAGCCAACAGCGCGAATAACCGGAGCTCTGCCCCGCGATACGGCGGGAGAGCATCACCCGCGTCCGGCCCACGGCACGGGAACTCACCGGGCTGACAGTCCTCGTGCTGGAAGCTGGAAGCCCTCCCTGGAAATAACAGCAGTTGTCAGCAGCGAGCGGCAGCGGCAGGGAACATTTCCAGCGCTCCCCGACAGCGCTGAGTTAAGCGCCGCTCACAGCCCGCTCTTCTGACGCGAGGCAGCAGCAGGAGCCGGGGCTCAGCGCCGGGGCGCTGGGATCTTTTGGCCGCACACGCGTCCCGCGGAGGCTTTCGGGGCTGAGGTGCGCGTCGCCAGAGGAGGGGAAGTGAGGAGAAAAAAAAAAAAAGAGGAAAAAAAAAAAAAAAAAAAACAACCAAAACAGCCTCTATCGAAAAGCCGCTTTCGTTTCGAAATGGCCGTTCTCAGTCACTCGTTTCCCAGGCTCGAAATAGGACTCTGTCCAAGGGAAAGCATCACGGGATGCCCTTTCCGCAGCTCTGCCGTTAGGCTGCTCCGTGTCCAGGCACAAGCAGGCTCCCATCCGTATCGCTGTCATTTCTGTTTGTCCAGCCCGGTGCAGGAGGCGTGCGCTAGAGGCGGAGAGACTGCACACGCACGCATACACAGCTGCATTTCCCCCCGCTCATCCCCCCCCGCTGGCTCCCTGCAGTCCTTGCGCACCCCCACCTCTTCGACCCGACCCGACCCGACCCGACCCGACTCGAAGTGACGGAGACGCACCCGCAGCAGCGGCCCCGCAGCCGCACGGAGGTACCGCACCCCCCGGGCGCAGCCACCGCCGCTTTGCGAGCTGCTCGCGGCCCCTTCAGAAATAGCATCGGGGCACGGAGAGACGCGACCGCGATCGGGAGCTGGGCGGGGGTAGGGACAGCCGATTACCCGTTTCTGCTACTTGGTGCGGAGGGATGAGATCCGCTTTTTATGTCTTTAATTATCATCTCTCATTCCGCTACGCAACGGCCCCGCGCCGCGTTCAAATGGCCATGTGACGAGGAAATAGCTGCTCGTCGGGCCGGGGTTTGACCCGGGGCTGTTAAAGCGGCAGCGATCCGCTATAGCAGCCACGGTGCTGCTCGCGGGGACGCGCGAATGTTTGCAACCTGCATCCTTTCCAGCGGCACCGCGGGGAGCTAGAGCCCGCAGAATAAAATAATAATAATAATAATAAAGAGCGAGATGGTCGTTCTGCGAGGAAAGCCTGCGAAGTGGGGGGGGGGGGAAAGGGGGGGAAGGGAGGAGGGGAGGTAAAGGAGAGGGCAAGGACGTGTCGTCAGGGCTTTATTTGAAAGCCCGGAGGCGCCCTGCGATTGGCCGCCCTCCGCGCCCGTTCAGCGGCGGAGCTCCGCGGGCAGAAGGCCGACGGCCGCCCCCGCCCCATCCTCCGCCGCCCGCCCGCTTCGAGGCGGGAGCTCCGGCAGTGGGAGGTGTTCCGACACAAAGGGGGCGGAGAGGAGAGGCGGAATGAGACGGAATTAGCCACGCGGAAAGGGGAAAAAAAAAAAAAAAAAAAAAAGAGAGAGAGAGAAGAAAAAAAAAAAGAAAAAAAAAAAGAGGAAAAAGAAATCCTCTCCAATGAATGGAGAGTGAGAGGGCCGACTTAAGACGGGGGCCCTGCGGGGGGAACGCATTTCCATCGCGGCTCTCCGGGGGCTCTCCCGCTCCCATGTCCCCTCGGATAAGGTGCACCGTCCGCTTTCGGCGCGCCCGCCGCCGGCCTCTGTCCCTCTCGCTGCTTCGGCGCATCTTGCGCGGGGTTACCGCTGTCCTGCGGCTCTCCGGGCCGCTTCGCCGCGTTCTGCGCCGGGTCCTGAGGAGGAGGAACCGGGGCAGCTCCCGGCCCAGGTACGGCGGGGGGCGGCGGGGCCGGGAGGGCCGAGCGGCGGCGGCATAGGGCCCTCGTGCGTCCTCCTCTCCCCCCTCTTCCATTCTTTTTTTTTTTTTTTTTTCTTAAAGCTTTTTCTTTTTCTATATATTTTTTTCTCTCTCTCTTTCGCTCTTTCTCTCTTTCTCTCTTTCTTTCTCTCTTTCTTTCTCTCTTTTTTTTTTTTTCTTTTCTAAATACAAATGCAATTCGGCAAAGCAGCAGGTGGTCGGCAGGTTATATCTGTCTTTTCTCCCTCTTTGAGAAGTAATTTCTCTTCCCCTATGCATAACTCAAAGCAGAACAGCGCAGCTTTGATCACACCATCTGTGATCTCTCCCCTCCGAGGGCACAGAACAACCGTGGCCGTCCCAGCGAGCGTCTCTTTTCCTCTCCGTAAGCGGGCAGAAATGCAAACCCGGAGGATTTAGAGACATTTCCCCGATTTCAGGTGGCAAAAGTGGGTCGCTGTGACTCTGCACAGCGCAGCTTAGGCCTCGGCAGTTACACATAATCGGGTGTGCAAGGAAAAACTAAAAAAGCTCCTGGTTCTGATGAGAAGATGGGGAGCGCTTTGCAAAATGCTCTCAGAGAACTGTGTGAGTTCACAGCCGTCTTCATTAGGGAGCACGGAGTGGAGCTGTGTAGGCAAAGTTAGAAGGGCTGCATAAATAATTGCGTGGAAATATTTTCAAAAAGAAAACTAAATGCAGATCTTAAAAAAAAATAAAGAAAGAAAGAAAACAAAACTAACAAACAAAAAAAGAGCAGATTAAAAACTCCACAACCGTAAATCTGCTAAACTGTGAGGCTTGAGGAGTGGCTGCAAAGCAGCTCTGCCTGCCCACTCCCAGCTGCATCACCAGCAGTGCTTTCTGGCTCACAAACCTTGGAATATTACACATGAAATGAATCTCAGTAACAAAACCCGGTTTTGCTCGTTATCTCCAAGCACTTAGTTTGTTGTATTTTTAGTAGGCCTAGTTCCCTCATTTTGCAGTAAGTACATGAAAAAGAAACCACGAGCTCTGACCCCTAAAAGCACGGATCTCAAATATAAAACTGTTGATCCAGAAGTAAATGCAGTGTAGTAAGGAAGAAGGAAAGATACAAATAAAAGCAAACGACGAAACAGAAAAGCCTTCACGGCTCGGGCACTGTGGCACTTCGTTTTGTTTGTCTTTCTCCTTGTTTTCGCACTAGCTTTAAATACGGCTTTTTCTTTCTTTCTCCTTTTACTTTCTTACTGAGGAGATGGAGGTCTAACACACCACTGTGGTCTCAGATAGTCCGAATTTCAGTCTGACTGCACTGAAAATCAGGTTCTAAAAGAAGGGAGTATTTCTAAGGCAAGTGTATGTATCTGAAAAGGTGAAAATTTTTTTTTTGCTTAATTTTACTGCTCTCAAAACGAAATGTAATGGCGTTAGAGACCCATAGGTAGCATGCGAGAATTCTGGCAGCTTGAACCCCTTAATGCAGCATTTCCAAGCATAGCTTGCAGGAAGATGGTAGCTTTGCAGTCTATTTCAGAGAGAGGAGAGGGAGGGGGGAGGGGGAATAGAAAGCAAATTTGGACTTATAAAGGCTCTCATTTCGTAAATAATAAACTCAGAAATAAGCCCCTTTAGCCTTTATTTGGAACCGTTCTCGAGGAGATGACTCCATAAATGGGAAATAAAGTTGCTTAATTCAGTAGAACGGTGGGTGGATGTTATCAGGGATGGAGGATGGGGGGGGGCAGGAACAATGCCCCCCCACAGGCGGTATCGGGGGCTGCTCGGAGCTGCGGGCAGTCTGTCGAGGCGCTGCGAAGTGTGACAAAGCTGCGTGTCCTGGCCTATTTCTTTCTTTCTTTCTTTCTTTCTTTCTTTCTTTCTTTCTTTCTTTCTTTCTTTCTTTCTTTCTTTCTTTCTTTCTTTCTGTCTGTCTGTCTGTCTGTCTGTCTGTCTGTCTGTCTGCAGAAATCTACAGCTATCTGTTAAACAGCGTAAATATTCTGCCTGTTTGCCTTTTTTTTTTTTTTTTTTTTTTTTTTCCCTCTCATTTCTTTTTCTTTCATCGTGTGTTTTCGTTGTTAATTGCTCTTAAGGAAGGGAATCGTTTGCCCGGCGAGCGGAGCGTTGCTTTTTGTGACCTCCGAGCTGGTTGTGCA